AATCCACTATATCATCCCAATTTGGAATGACCTTCCAACGAAAGCTTTTAGCACCAGCATGTGACTACCAATCAAAACATAAAATATCAAAAAGCAAAACATAAGTATAAGAACAATTAAAAGAATTTCACACACAAAAGAAAAATAATGAATTTGTTACCTTCACGTACTCTTGCCAGGCTGGGTCTTCATCTACACTAATCATCTTTTTGGTTGCATCCCAATTAAATCCACTTTGACTTAGTATATTACTCACTATTGCATAAAACTTTTTTCAAAACTTCACACGATTTCGAATGTTATCAGCAGTTATATGAATATCAAATTGAGCAGATAATATGGCTGCAATAGAATTATAAGCAGCTGTCTTCCAACCACCATCTCCTTTGTTTCCCAATCTTCTTTCTTCGCGAAGAATGTCAGCCAATGCACGTTCCATATCTACATTCCATCTAAAATAATTATTTTCCTCTCCTTCATTTTCAATTTGTTGGTTCTCTTTCTTTCTCCTTGGTTTTTGTTTGCATACTGGTTTTCTATCAAATCCTTCCATTGCTCCTAACATAAAAAATATATTATTGAGACATTAAGTCACTCATAGACACATTCATGGTAAAAATCCGAGTATCAACTCATATTTATACATTCATAATTATATGGAACTAAGCTACAAAAACTTGAGTATAGTTGGTTGAAATAGACATACACTAAATGATAACATAGTGGACATAGCTGCACGCACATTATCTTTTAAAAAAATAGCATTATAAATGAAACAGAACATGTTCAAGAAACACATAAAACCATAGTATTCATATGAAATCCAAATTCACTAGATACACCTATAAGGGCGGAGTAGTATATCAAACCTTTTCACTAGATACATGTTCAAAAAACACATAAAGCCATACAATATACATCACTAGATACACCTATAAGGGCGGAGTAGTATATCGAAGCTTCACTTGCAAAAACAGGAAATTATGTGTTTCTGATAGGGTACTAAGAACTGGGATTTACATATAAAATGCATAAACATATCTCAGAATTTTCCGAATAACAGAGAATTATCCTGCATTCTTATAAGTCACATAGAGCAAGCTAAATCTGCACCCGAAAATCGACTTTTTCTAATAACCTGCAGTTCATGATTTCACAAATAAATAGAATTGGCAATTTGGCAGGACTCCACATGCAACTTACCACAATAGAAACATAAAAATTTCATTTTTTTTCTTGACGAACATGAGTTAAAAACACAGATTCTAAAAAAACCATCAGGCAAAAGAACAAACAGAAGAATTCGAACCTTTTTTACTGCAACATGTTCAAGAAACACATAAAGCCATACAATATACATCACTAGATACACCTATAAGGGTGGAGTAGTATATCGAACCTTTTTCAATAGAACATGTTCAGGAAACACATAAAGCCCTAGTATTCATAATTATATGGAACTAAGCTACAAAAACTTGAGTATAGTTGGTTGAAATAGACATACACTAAATCATAACATAATGGACATAGTTGCACGCACATTATCTTTTAAAAAAATAGCATTATAAATCAAACAGAACATTTTCAAGAAACACATAAAGCCATAGTATTCATATGAAATCCAAATTCACTATGACAATACAAACTAAAAGCAACTATTTTTCCATTAGGAATTATTGGCAGCTCTTTGAGCTTGATAATCGTGGAACATCTACAATACCAATGTATCACGAAACAATGTCCATTCAACTGTAGCTTGAACAAATGTAATCCCATCAGAGTTATTTTCATTTTCCTCTCTTGTTGAACGATTTAACAACTTTGAGTCAATAGATGCTAAAAATTGTAAATCTTGAGCTTCTAAAACTGGATCAGTAGCTTGCTCGGTTATAATAAAATTATGTAAGACACAACACACATTTATAATCCTAACTTGTGTTTTAATGTCGATAAAGGATGGTGCGCGTAATATGCTCCGTCTCTTTTTTAACAATCTAAATGCCCTCTCAATAACATTCCTTGCCCTTGAATGATGCAAATTATATAGTTCTTTGTAGTTTTCAGGTTGACGGTTTCCAACCCATCTTTCAAGTGATATCTAGTTCCACGATAAGGTGCTAAAAACCCTGGTCCATTAGTATAGCCAGTGTCCACAAGATAATACTTATCTACAATAAAAAATTTAGAGAACAAATTTAGATATATTTTAAAGTTTTTTCTTTCTAATATAGAGCTAATTGGTATCATACATTACCATTTGGAACATGAAACTGGTTACTCCTATGTAAAGCATCACGCAAAACACGAGCATCAGATGCAGAGCCTTCCCATCCAAGTAACACATAAAAAAATCTTAAATCTGGACCACAAACTCGTAACATATTAGTGGATATATCACCCTTTCTATCTCGATATCTTGGTCTTTCCTCAGCCGTTATTGTTACTGGTATAAGAGTTCCATCAAGTGCTCCAAGACAATTCTAAATAAAAATGTCATACACATGAAAAAAAAGAAGATAAGTCTAAAAAGCTAATGAAGATATCAAACGAAGACATATTTTTTTGGTATAGTTGTTGATTGATTACCTCAAACCACGACCACTTCTCTCTTTCAGAATTGCCAATAACACATGGTTGATATTTCATTTATTCTTGACTTATTTTCATCATTGCATGCAACACATTGTGAAATTGCCAACTAATTGTTTCCTTGGAACGATAATAATGAAAATCGATGACTCTAAACTTCAAGTTGTGTGTCACATCCCGGTCCGGGCCCCCACCACATCCCGGGCTCGACTCCACCATAGCACGATATTGTTGGCTTTGGGCCCTAACCACGCCCTCACGGTATTGTTTCTCGGAACCCACACGAGAACTTCCCAGTGGGTCACCCATCCTAGGATTGTTCTCGCGCGAACTTGCTTAACTTCGGAGTTCCTACGGAACCCGAAGCCAGTGAGCTCCCAAAAGGCCTCGTGCTAGGTAGAGATGAGAATATACATATAAGGCTTACAGGATCCACTCCCTTGGGCGATGTGGGATGTTACAATCCACCCCCCTTAGGGGCCCGACGTCCTCGTCGGCACCCGACGGGCAGGGTTAAGCTCTGATACCAAATTGTCACATCCTGGCCTGGGCCCCCACCACATCTCGGGCCCGACTCCACCGTAGTACAATATTATCCGCTTTGGGCCCCGACCACGCCCTCATAGTTTTATTTCTGGGAACTCACACGAGAACTTCCCAGTGGGTCACCCATCCTGGGATTGCTTTCACGCAAACTCGCTTAACTTTGGAGTTATTACGTAACCCGAAGCCACATTTCTTGTGCGAACTAATCCACCAATCCCTTGTAAAATTTCACATAACTGCTTAAATGCACTCTTGTTCACTCGTAATTGTTCAATGCACGTTGAATCCTTTCCATCGAACAATTGGCCAATGAAAGATTGCCTTTCTTGATTCCAATCATTTGAATTCGAGAAGAACACTCATACTATACCAATGCATGACCATGACAATAACATATATAATTGTACTAACAATAATTTTCCTTTTTTTTCCTATTTTCCTCTTCATTTATAGCATGCTTTTGCTTTAACCTCGTTAGCATGTCTACAATATGAATATTTTCCATATCTGTTTGAATGTATGAACAAATATATATTGTGATATGCAACAAATATTTAGGGGATATGAGTATTTTCCATTGAAGTGAAGTAAACAATTTAGGGGAAGAAGAAGAACCACCCCCCCCCCCAAAAAAAAAAAAAAAAAAAAAACCAGCACCATCACCAAAAACCTTCCACCTTTCCCAGATAAGGTTAATTACAAACCAAATAGACAATTCAATCGGAGAAAAAAAAAACATAATAAGCACACCAAACATAAAACTATCAACAAAATTCACAATTCTATAATGAGTGCCATATTCAGTCTGCATAATTTGAAGAGTGAGGAATATTTTGATAATGTTCAATCTCGATCTTGGATCTGCTTAACGATTCCTTTTGCATATAGTTAGATATCTTGTATTCTGAGGTACCTCTTGCATTAAAACGCAGTGGGAGAAAACAGAAATGAAAAAGGACAAGTATATATATAGACGATAGATATATGAATATGTTTGATTAGAGAAGCAATATGCTGGCCTTTGGAATGTTTATGCTTGGGGATCAATAGTAATGCATTTTCTGTGTGAAAATGCATGTAACAAGAAAGACTACTCGAAAGGATGGAATGAAACCAGAAATACATGATGCTTACAGTAAGATCACACCCAAAAACTAAAAATAATTCAAGAAAGAAGAGAGTAGAGACGCTGACCTAGAACAAAGGAAGAAGAAGATTGCACGAGCGAAAATCCCTTCGAAGATTGGAGAGTTAACAGAGTGAAGATCATGCAGCCCTTTTATTGTGAAATTTGGCAGTATACATCTCAGTTTAGCGCCCTAATCCTGAAATTTGGTGCGCACAAAATCTCCCCGCAAATGAATTCGGGATTCTCATCGTTGTTGGAATTATGAAATTCAAACTCGGAAATCTTCATCCCCAATTTCCACCTTTTTTCCCCATACAAATTGCCGTTTCTCGCGCTGCAAGGTTCCCAAATGAGGGAAAACTGCTTTCCCATCCTAAATTCCCTAGTTTAAGTGAAATTCTTTTTTATTTTACCATATCCAAACAGAGTGTTATTTGTTATTTTTTCATTAAAATTAAAGTTTTTTTAGACTTTTCGTTAGTTTTCTTTAAAATTAAATCTGATCACTTAGTAATAGATCTAGTGATATTTCTCTTCACTTGTAAGAGATATGTCTTAAGTTCGATTCTCGCAAAAGACAAATTTGAACCACATTATTGCTAACCCATTAGTATAGATAATATTGTTTGTAATTTAAAAAAAAATAAAATAAAAATCTAGAGAGAGATTTTTACTCCAAAGAAATACAAGATTCCAAAGCCGGGTTAAACGGCGGATTGGATTGTTTGTTGCTGACCTTGCCTTACCTCGCCAATTACAAAATATAAAATGCTCCTCGCTTTTGGTTTGGGGTTAAACTTGGCATGCTCCTTACGCTTTCTTCCTCCCAAACCCTAATCACTTCGCGTACGATCGCATCCAACCGTGTGATCAGATCGCCATCGCTGCCGATCAGGTCATCGCTCTTATATTTCACGATTGCGATTGTTCTCGACGTCGTCGTTTTGTAGTTGTAAGGTTTTCATCGTTTCAATCTGCCAATTTCTGTGCATTCGGACATCCATAAACTATAGTTGGTTAATTATTCGGTTTGAGGTTCAAATTACTTTACTTTCTGGTATGATCTGTTTTCATTTATCGTTTTTTTAATTGAATTTGTTTAATTTTAAGGGCAGAGCCATAGGAGGATCTGAAATTTATAGGTTATTCAATTTTGTATTTATTTCACGTATCTATGGTTACATGCATGTGTGAGAGATAATTTGGAAGTAGGTGAATTGTAAATTCTGTTTGCTGGGTGTCAGGGATTTAATTGAGGTTTCAAAATTGGAAATTGGTTGAATTTAGAAGCAGGTTGGTTCTTGTGATAATTTAGAGGTTCTTATGTTTTTGAGTTGTTGATTATATGAATTTAGATAGGCTTCGATCGAGTAGAACCATCAAAAATGCATTACGATAACGTACTTTTTCTTGTGATTTTGTTAAAGCAATGTTTAACCAGTGTATATTTTTCGTAATCTTCCATGCGTTGTTTGGTTTTTGTTAAATTTAGTTTTGCAGTTTCTCAGGACTTTTCTCTGTTGGTTTGTTCACTTTTTTATTTGTTGTTTTTAACTTGGCAGGAGTAATGTCTTTTGCACGTAACTATCGTTCACAAGGGGGCACCACTGGTGAAGAGTATTGGCCCACCTTTGGTAGAAATGACTTCAAAAACTTCCACAACTTCAACCACCGGAACAACAACAACTGGAACAGGAGCAGGACCAGTAGCTTTGCTAAGAATTATAACAATTTCCCCAATTTCCAGAATTACGTGGGTGGTTATAAGGAGCACGCTGATAATTCTAATTATTTCAATCCTGACAGTGCACCATCGTTTAAGAGGAGAAAATTTTCAGATTCTACTTGGGGTGATGGTGGGAGACATTATCTGCCACCCAACACATATGAGTTTGTCTCGTCTACCTGCAATAATTATCTTCCTTATGCAAGATCACCCAACACATATGAGTTTGTCTCGTCTGCCTGCAATAATTATCTTCCTTATGCAAGATCCAACGGTGATGCCTCTGCATCTACTACTGGTAAACGTGACCGCTCAAAATTAGATGAGGATGAACTGCCCTTTATGTCAAGGGATGAGATAGAGAGATGCTCCCCGTCTAGAAAAGATGGTATAGATTCAGTACGTGAAGCGCACTTGCGCTACTCATATTGTTCTTACCTTCAGAATCTTGGATTGCGGCTTGACTTGTAAGCTTCTTTCTTTTCTAGGTGTATCTTTGTTATGTTTTCATTTTACATTCGTTTCCTTGCATTGTTGAACTGGTTTTGTCCAGAACTAGTTGTTATGGTATTTTTAACACTTTGCTAATTGACTTTCAGTTTCAATGTTTTCTTCTCTTTTTTAAGAATTATGTAATTTACAAACTGAATCATGTCTCTTCCAGGCCCCAGACTACTATCGCTACAGCAATGGTTCTCTGCCATCGGTTTTTTGCCCGGCGATCACACGCTTGCCATGATAGATTTGTGAGTATTGAACTTATTTTTAAATTCATAGCATCTTTTGATGTTATTAAGGTTTCTTTTATCTTAGATACCATAAATTTAATTTCTCATATGATCAGTATTTTAGCATTTAAGATAATCAATCATTTGTTGTGTTCAAAGTCTTTTCCCTTTTATTTTTATGTTTTCTTAATATAACTCATTAACGTATGTTTCTTTTCTCCATAACGTGCTGTTTTTAAATTTCCTACAGCTTATGTATTATCTGTGTTGTTGGTTTACTCTGTCACTCAATCTGGTAATAATATTTATGACTATTTCGTTTCTTTTCCAGTTGATTGCTACTGCCACTCTTTTCCTAGCTGCAAAGTCCGAGGAGACACCACGCCCTTTGAATACTGTGTTGAGAATGTCTTCTGAGATTTTCCATAAGCAGGATATCAGTTTCTTGTCCTATATGCTCCCCATTGTGAGTGTCTTTACTGTTCTTTGTGATCCTCTATGATATGATCTGTTCTCTTCAAAACATTCAGAATTAATACAATCTTCATACAGTTTAACTGTCAATATAAACATTATTACATAATCAAATGCCATAACGTTTTTCTTTTCGTTTACGTGAAAAAAACCATTGCATAGCCTTTTTTTTTTTAATTTTTAAATTCAGATGACTTTTCCTGCGTCCGATATTTTTTCCTATTTCATGCTATTCAGTACGTCATGTAGAGCATGAAACAAACCTTTTAAGATTTTTCCTTTCACTGGACACTTTCTAGCATTCTGACATATGTTGGTTGTTAAACAGGACTGGTTTGAGCAGTATCGGGAACGGGTGACTGAGGCTGAGCAAATGATACTGACCACTCTAAATTTTGAACTTGGTGTGCAGCATCCATATGCACCACTTACGTCTATTCTTAACAAATTAGGTCTCTCACAAACTGTTCTGGTGAATCTGTCCTTAAGCTTGGTCAGTGAAGGGTAAGCTCATCAATCTGAGATTTCAGCATTTTGCCTACATTTCGCTGAATGTTTGTACTTGATCATTATCGACATGTTTGTCTTGCTTTTTTCTACTCAGTTTACCTTGCATGCCTTCCTGAAAATTGTGTTATTAGTAAGATTCACTGTGGTTGTTAAAGGGGGGGGGTATCATCAGAATTTCAGATTTTGTTGATGTTTGGGCATGGCTATGGCTGCGGCAGAGGATAAACACTGGTTTTCTTCCTGTTCTCCAAAACTCTGATGCTTGATGCCTGTCTTTGTAATTTTCTTGTTTACAGTATCTACTCTAGTAGTATTTTGAAATATTAATTCTTTTGGCATGCATATAATTGCAGGATCTACACAAGATTAGAGTTGATCGCCTGTATGATATTCTTAGCTGGCGGATTGATTTGCTGTTCATGGAACTTTTGTTTTACTTCTGAAGTTGAACTGCCAATATTTTGTGGATGAATTTACCATAATATTCCTCCATCTTGGTCGTTGGCTGTTGAATATAGCCAATTAGCCTCATTAGCCATTTTCACATCTTCAACTTACTGGTGGAGTTTATTAAGAAAGTGTCCTGTCCTGCTTGCAAAAATACAGTTTGTAAGACAGGCTTTTTGTGTGCTTGGTTTTGGAGGAAAACCATTGACTAGGCTAGGATTTTCATATTGTGATTGGTAGTCCTTCCTGTCCCCATTGCCGTTTTATGAATCCTCCAATGACTTTTTCTAGTTCCTGCTAAAAACGAGGGGTTGACCAGATATCTAGGGGTTGCTTTAGGTTTAAAAGTATGATTTATCAGTTTTGAGTATCAGGGCTTGCAGTCTGATTTCAGTTTTGACCAAACTCTTTCTGATGGAAGTTTAAACCCTGGCCCAAAATGTTGCAAATTGTCGTAGAACTGTGGTCACTGACGCTTGAGTCTCAGGAGCTTGTGTAGGTATTTGCCTGACATAGATGTCTTGAAAGTTTTCGGTGTTGTATCTGTTTTTCCATTACAGAATGGAATGGGAGACATTAGCATTTTGTATAGTACCTGCCATTCATCTACCCCGTCTCCCTAAAGAAAAAAAGGGGAGAGATTTAATGCAACACGTCTGAATGAAAATGACGGAAATTGGCACTGACAGTCCTTATTAATTGGCATTGAGATGCAACTTATTTTCCAAGATGGGGGAATAGGAGCTCAGGAAATATAACAAAATTTTGAAAGTCATTTGAATGCTCTATCATTTTACATGATTTTCGTATCATAATCTTTTTGGTTTAACATATATTTCTCAGGTAATGATTTGTCTGGATCTAGAACCTGCCCAGATATTTATCCGGGTCAAACCCTTGACTCAGAACTATTTGCTTCCATATACTTGGTATCAGATAATGTCAATTTTCTAGTCCCAACTCCCGTGTAAGTGTTTTTACAGTTTTTAATAAATTTGAGGCCACTTCACAGTTAGTGTGTGCTATTTTTGCTTTAAAAATGTATTTTATCTTTGAGTTTTCTCAATTTTAAACTTTATTTGAACATTTGTTCAAGCGATGGATTTTGTTAGTTATTTGTTCTGAAAAAAAAGAAGGAAAAAAAGGTTTTCTTGAATATTCTTTGTCAAAATTTGTTATTTTTGTGAAATATGTTTTATATATTGTAACCGTATCTTCATTTATTTGTAATGATCAGTTTGATCTTAATGCCACTATTGTTGTTATTTGTGATGAATAATTTATTATTTTTATTACTGGCATTATGGACTCCTAGTCCTTCTGTTAGACGACTTTGTTTTACACAGAAGTACACAGCGGAATATTGCCTCACCAGCTAAATAAAAAAATAAAAAAATCATATATGAGTGAAGGAGATATTGGCATAGACTTTTTATATCCTTCTTGGTTACATCCAGGGATGTTTTTGGTGTGGGGGAAAGGCTACCCAAATCTTGGTACAAGTGTTGTAAGATTATGTTGCTAACTACAACCTGGAAATCTTTTGAAAAGAGTAAAGGAGTCCTAATAATTTAAGATACATGTACTTATGTTTTGAACGCTAGTGCTTTTCTGTTCTCCGTCTCATTATTTATTTATTCTGAAACCTTGCTGTTGATATAACTTCCGGCTAGGTGATTAAAAAGGTAAAATCACAGTGAGACTAGACTCCGGAGGAAACATGTTTTTCTCTATAAAGTACCCCAGAAGAATTGATGGCATCCATCCCTGTAGTTGCTTGAAAATTCCTACCATTGTTAGAATCCCGGGTTGTTGTAGGGGGCATTCGCCATTTTTTGTATTCCAAGGTCTCACCAAAGTTTTGCTTCAGTAGTTGTTGATATGAGAAAAGTATACGTATTATAACTCAGATGTGCATATGTATACTATCTGGAACAGACTATAGATGGCAATTCAGCTTCATATCATGCCTGCAACATGGGTGTGGTCGATGATTCTTGTCGGGAACTTAGTAGTTGGGTTATTGTGCATGCTCAATGAGCATCAATGCATGTGTTGGCAAGTCTGTCCAGATCCAGCCATTGATCAGAAGATTGTGGATTTTCTTTCAGAAGTTTAATTGTTTGCAATGTCCTGCTTTTGCTTTCTAAAATGAATCATGTATTCGAGTAAAATAGCCGTGCAGCAGATTGGGGACTGGGAATTGTGGTGTCTCTAGATGGGGTGTATCATATTTGCTATAGTTTTGGTACTCTTATCAGCCATCCTGCAGAGATTGTGGAAAATATTCTACCTGACTTGCTGCTTTTGTAGTTGGTAAGAAATTGACTTGTTATTTCATGCCTGATTTGATGTCGTTTTGCTACCAATTTTTTTATGCTATATGTTGCTGACGTACGTTCTATCAATGTGATGTGAAAAATATGCTACTTTGCACTGAGAATTGCCTGGTCTTTCTACTGTTGCCCCAGATGGTTTGGTTTGATGATGTGCCTTTTGCCTCTCCTATCCCATGGTGGTGGTTCGGTCTCATACTTTCAGAAACTGATTTTGTTTTTTCATTTTATTGTTCAGGCTTCGGAGTTCTCTGTGGCTCCAGTTCAAACCGCATCATATTGCGGCAGGAGCTGCCTACCTTGCCGCAAAGTTTCTAAATTTGGATCTTGATTCTTATAAAAATATATGGCAGGAATTCCAAGCTACACCAGATATTCTTCAAGGTATGCATACATGCTTTTGTTATCACAGCTGAGGGCTAGCGAGCTGCATTTTCAATTGCGTATATCTAGTTTTAATTTGGGTTATGGTTGATGCAGCCGTTGCTCAGCAGTTGATGGAACTCTTCTAGATGGATGGAGCATGTTGTTACGCTAGTTTCTGTGTATAAAATTCGGATCGGGGAAAACATACTCGACTTTTGCAGAGGTATGGTGTGAGGAGACGAGGAGAAACGCCAAGATATGATATCGTTTCTCGCGACTGCTTTCCTCTTGAACCTCTTGAAGGCTTAAAAAGTATAGTTTTTAATGTTTTGTAACTTTTCGGAGTGGTAGCGTACATATTAATGACAAAATCGCTACAACGTTTTTCTTAGATCTTGTGCTCTATGTTCTTATTATATCTTTGTCGATTGTCGAAGGAGGTTTTAGACAACATAATGATGTAACGGTTTGGGGCTCCAAATCCATCGGCCTCGGGCGAACGGAGAGATGCTCTCTTGTCACAAATTCAGTACGTGACAAACGTTTATTGTGAGAGGCTGCTGGACACGAGAATATTTCCAAGCATGACAGGAGTTACCTACCGACTACATGTTGCGAAAACATGAATGTTGGTAGGTTAGGGGATGGTAGAATGTTGCTTTCAATTACTCTCCATATTCAAGAGTTGGAGATTACCTACTCTTCTTTTCATTTATTATGCTCCAGCGTTTGACATGTACCGAATGAATAAAACGCAAAATATGCCACAAAGAATTTGGCTGCCAAAAATTTCAGCGCACACCAAACACTGATGCATACCATATCATTTTGTATCGGTCTCTCTTTTAAAATACATGCTACAAAAGAATTCATATAGTATAGTTGAAGCATACTAAAATTCAGAAGGAATCAACTTTAAATTTTACCGCTATCATGAAGCCATCCGGCAACGTAGAAGGCATAAAAAATCAGAACGGCCGACGGCCGGCACAAAATAAAAATACATTTCAAAATTCATATGTTTTCAACACAAAATTTAACATATTATTTAGACTTGGCATTCATGTCGTGTTTTTTGTGTTCGTGTCGTTTTCATGACATACTCGATATCTTAACAGATCGTGTTATGTAACACCCGTTAAAGTCAACAAGTAATATGACCCGATCCGAAATTAACCCGTTAATATTATCAGTAATATGACCCAACGTGTGTGTTTTTCGTGTTTGTGTCGTTTTCGTGATATATTCGATATCTTAACGGATCACGTTATGTAACATCCATTAAGATAAATGGGTAATATGCTCCAACCTGAAATCAACCAGTTAATATTATCAGATAATAGGACCTGACCGGTTATCTGTTAAGGAAAATATATTTTAATCAATAAATAATGAAAATGAAAAATATAATTTGACCCAAAAAATTTGAAAAACATAATACTAAATTTGTATATGTATATGACATTGTCACATAAATATTACTTCAAAAGACAAAAACAACATTAGTCTTTTAAGTATTACATATCCCAAAATAAGAGTCTAATGAACAAACATTGGTATATTACTATAAAATACAAATGTTCAAGGATATGTAAAATGAAAGGAGTTGCGTTTCAAGATTGAGGAAACCTTGCACGTTTTTTACAGTAAAACCCTTCAATTTTTATCAATCACAAAGAGAAATGATATTGGTTTATTTTGAACTCTCTTAAAAAGACTATTCATGAGGGTTTGTATGGTTCTAAAAATTCAAACAAAGATGTACCCCTCCTCAAAGTGTACACCATGTGATCACAAGGGCTTGCATATTTTTTCACATTTTTTGCACTTGTAAGTTAATTATTATAATTTTTTAATGTGTTTGGTATTTTTAAATTACTTGATATTTTTATTTTAATGTGTTTTATAATTTTTTTAATCTTACTCCTTGCCTATAGTATACTATAAAAATAAATAAAACTTAATTTTTTAAATTTATATAGAATAATAATACGATAATACATATTTTAATACACAATATATGCATATACTATGACTTTTATATTTTATTGTATGTTTTTTTTAAGTAGTTTAAAAAAATTAAAATAATCAAAATAATATTTTTCTTAACCTGTTGAAATGGATTACTCGCGTGTCATTCTTGTGTAAATTTGTTAAGGACCCGCTATTAACGGATTATTATTGTGTGATCCGATAATGATCCGATTAGCTATTGGAACGATCCGAAACCTATTATTTTATGTCGTTTACGTATCGTGTAAGAAATGGTTAGATTTAATATTATTACTGCATATTTATTATTAATCATTTTCTTTGCATTATTTCTAATTTCGTCCGTACTCATGTCATTGTCACGCACCTTAATCTCTTCCTGATCGCGATCGTTGGGAGCCGTGCCCTTGTTTTTTCGAATCCCGGGGTAATATTCTCGAGAAACAAACAGAAAGTTAAGTGCTCACGAAAAGCTGACCTCACTGGATAAAAACACAAGAAGCAGCTAAAAGATTTAATGGCTCACGACGCCAATCCAGTTTCTTCTGCTGTGATCTGCTCATTGGAAGCTAAGACGAACGTCCCAACGCTACTTCGGATGGATTCAGCGGCAGCTCAGCGTCGCCTTAAAGCAATCAACCGCCACCTCGCCACCGGCGTCGACTCCGAGTCCCCTCTCCGGCCCAATCCCACCGCCGGCGAGTTCTTTTCCGGTGCGCCGTCCCTCTGTGCTTATTATTTTTCCAGCTCAATTTTGGTTTTGACTTTTGATCGCGTAGGTGCCATTAATGCCCCCAGATTTTGTGGTGTCTTGATTTTGGGGGACTTTTGAGCTTCCAAGAGCTCGATACAGATTACATATTTCGGGCATTGAGAATCAGAAAAGAGTTTTCATACCTCTGGTTTTAGATTGTTTGATCATACGTTTCGACTTCAGTTGAGGATCATACAGTTTTGAATTGTTTTTTCAGTAAAGGGTGATTCTTTGTATCATTTCAGCAGTTCCAATTCATTGATTTAGAAACCCGTTAGACAGTTAATGTTGCGTCTCGATTTATAAGAGATTTGGATTTGAATTCTTTTTTGTTAATGGGTTTCTTTGTTTTTAAAAGTACTAGTTTTTGTGCTCTTAAGGTTTTATATTTCTTTTCCTTTTTGTCGAAATTTGCATGTGAAATTGATCATTTTGAAACGGGGTGCAATTCAAATGCTCAAGAATATTTCCCCACTTATACACAAAATATGTGTTTTTATAACGTATTATGCAAACAAAACTTGAACTGAATAGCCAAAATCTAATCCCTCTTTCAAATCAGAAATGTCAAATGCAAGTGTGCTGCTGGATTGCAATTCATGTTTTTTGTTCGCGAATCACTTTTGGACTTTGTTGAAGGTTACTTTTGTTTTCTTTTGTCCTTTTCAGTTAGACATTAATAGTTGTTCGCGGAATTTGTTACTGATGAAACTTTGAAGGTTACTTTTGTTTTTCTTTTGTCCTTCTCAGTTAGACATTAATACTTGTTCGGATGTCGTCATGTTTTGTTTTTGTGGGGATTTTGGTCCATGGGATCCAAGAGACCATTTTGAGTGGACATTTGATTCGAGGGAGGTATGGCAGTGCTTTATGGGAAATATGGAAAGACCGTTGGGTTTAGGGTTTAGAAAAATATACTTGGGAGTTCATCATTTTGTCCTTCCATTGGTCTGAATTCTGTGAAACGTTCACCTTCTATCTCCCACATCCAAGCACATATAAGCATTTGACAATGATCTTTGTTCTCTCTCTGATGGGAAAAATGGACTGATCTAGCTGATGAAGAGCACTGAAGATTTGGATACAAACTTATATAAAAACTTGGATCAGTAAAATGAAGAGGACTACCATGACAAAGAAGATGGACTATATGAAAAATCGGAGTTTGACTTAGTACTTACAGGGCAAATCCTTTCTACAATTGGTAGCATTGTTTTCTCTTTGATTGATTAAATATTGTCTGTTTTTTGTTTGCCTTATGTTTTGTTTTGTATCTGTCGCTTTTTTTTTTCCTTGGTTGTCTTGTTTAGTTCTTTTGCATTATGTGTTTCATAATGAAAAACTTTGGCCGTTTACATTATGTATGGGATATGTCACTGCGTGAATCCTGCTTTGTGGGATATTGTGAAAGTGATAATGGATAAGTTTGTTGCTCAAAAGATAAATTTCTGAGGGGTATTGAGGGCTTTCAAGTGGGATAGGAAATGAAAATTAGATTCTTTAAGGTTTGGTTTCTTTGTTTTGTGGTGGACTATAGAATAAGTGGGAACAAGTTGGTAAAGGTGGTTAGCAATTTGTTCTGGAAACGTGTCTAGGATGTTTAACTTATTGGCTCAAATACATATATTAATATCATTAAATTCTTAACAGAGCATGGGTACAGTGTGGTGCTTCCAGAGAAATTAGACACAGGAAAGTGGAATGTATACAGGTGGGTATATTCCCTTTTTTCGTTTGTGCTGCCCCAACAAGATCCTTGGCTATTCATGTCATGTGAGAACAATATTTTTGTTTTGTTGTTGTGGTGACAGATCTGCACGCTCCCCAATGAAGCTTGTTAGTAGATTCTCGGATCATCCTGAAATTGGTACACTGCATGATAATTTTGTGTGAGTCAGCTACTTTTTGCCAAATTACACAAGTACATTTAAGCTCAATAATTTCCTACAATTATCTGCCCTACATTTATATGTCTAACCACTGTTATTTAGTTCCCTTGGAATTTGCTAACTGACTTCATCTAACTTTTGTCAATATTAGGCATTCAGTTGAAACTTTCCGAGATTACAAATACTTGGGCACACGAATTCGTGTTGATGGAACAGTTGGAGAGTGAGTGCCTTTTATATAATTAACATCTCAGTTCCTGTGAATTACAATTGTTTGGGCTCATGCATCCAGTGAAGCCTCACCCATTTTCATTTGTTTTTCTGCCTTCAAGTTACAAGTGGATGACATACGGAGAAGCAGGTACTGCTCGGTCAGGAATAGGTTCTGGCCTAATTTATCATGGAATACCAAAGGTGTAATTTCATTAATAATTCCATGGTTCCAATATACTTCCGTTTATTGGTCATTGAACTTTATCTCTGTAATTAGTTCCTTGAAACCTGAAACTACCGAGTGGATTTCCCTGATGTTACTTGACATCAAATCCTCCTTAAACTTTTATGTCTTTAACTACAGGGATCTTCAATTGGATTGTATTTTATTAACAGACCTGAGTGGCTCATTGTTGATCATGCCTGCTCTGCGTATTCGTACATATCAGTTCCTTTGTATGACACTCTAGGTTTGTGCTACTTTTCTTGTATTTTTCCAATCTTGGTCTATGGTTCAGGTGTTACAATTGAATATGATATTCT